GAGAACTTCCAGATGTAAAAGCTGGGTTTATAAATGGCAGAGGAACCAGAAATCAAATTGCCAACATTTGTTGGATCATGGAGAAATCAAGAGAATTCCAGAAAAAAAACATCTTCTGCCTCATTGACTATGCTAAAACCTTTGACTCTGGATCACAATGAACTGTGGAAAATTCTTCAAAAGATGGGAGTACCAAACCACCTTAATTGCCTCTTCAGAAACCTGTATGTGGGTCAAGAAGCAACAGTTAGAATCAGACATGGAACAACTGACCAGTGCCAAATTGGGAAAGGAGTAGTACATCAAGGCTGTATGTTGTCACCGTGCTTATTTAACTTATATGCACAGTACATCACATGAAATGCCTGGCTGGATGAATCAAAGTTGGAATCAAGACTGCTGAAACTAATATCAACAACCTCAGATATGCAGATGTTACCTCTAATGGCAGAAATTGAAGAGGAACTAAAGAACCTCTTAATGTACATGAAAGGGGAGACTGAAAAATCTGACTTGAAACTCAACATCAAAAATCTAAGATTATAGCATCTTATCCCATCACTACATGGCAAATCAAAGAGGAAAAAGCAGAAGCAGTGACAGATTTTATTTTCTTAGGCTCCAAAATCACTGCTGATGGTGACCGCAGCCATGAAATTAAAAGATGCTTGCTTCTTGGAAGGAAAGCTATGACAAAGCTAGATAGAGTATTAAAAAATACACAGAGACACCACTTTGCTGACAAAGGTCTGTATAGACAAAGCTGTGTTTTTTCCAGTAGTCATGTACACTTGTGAGAGCTGGACCATAAAAAAGGGTCGGCGACAAAGAATTTGTGTTTTTGAATTGTGGTGCTGGAGAAGACTCTTGAGAGTCCCTTGAACTCCAAGATCAAAGAAGTCAATTCTAAAGGAAATCAACCCTGAATATTCATTGGAAGGACTGACGCAGAAGCTGAAGCTCCAATGCTTTGGCCACTTGATGTGAAGAGCCTTACTCACTGGAAAACCTCCTAATATTGGGAAAGACAAAAGGCAAAAGGAGAAAAGGGCAGCAGAGGATGAGATCTTTAGATAGCATCACAGACTCAATGGACATGAATTTGAGCAAACTTCAGGAGATAGTGGAGGAGAAAGGAGGCTGGTGTGCTGCAGTCCATGGGGTTGCAAAGAATTGAACACAACTTAACAACTAATGAATGATAAATATGTTTGAAGATGGAAAGTTATAGTTGATAGAATCTGCATAAAACAAGAATTCTAATGCTTTCTAAAATAATGGAGTACATAAAAACAACAAAAGTGAAAGCATCATTGGCCGATATTTTATAGACAATAGAAGTAGTCTGTTGCAAGGCTTGTGAAAATAAGCTGAAACATTTAAGACGTCTTTGAGTACTACTCAGATGGGGCTTCCCTGGTGGCTCAGGCAGTGAAGAATCTGCCTGCGATGCAGGAAGACCCAGATTCAATTCCTTGGTTGGGAAGATCCCCTGGAGAAGGAAATGTCAACCTACTCCAGCATTCTTGCCTGGAGAATTCCATGGACAGAGGAGCCTGGCAGCTACAGTCCACGGGATCACAAAGAGTCGGACATGGCTGAGAGACTAAAACTTACACTGACTTACTTACTTACTACTCACATGCAGCAATATCCATGATAAGGTCTGACATATTTTGGAGGATCTTAAAAAGTAAACTTTCTATGTTGTTTTTATTCATAATGGCCAAAAGTTGGAAGCATCTAAGATGTCCTTTAGCAGTTGAATGGACTGTAGAATATCTAGACAATGGAGTAATATTATTCAGCTGGAGAACATCCACACATTGGAGTATTACTATTTAGCACTGAAAAGAAATGTCATGGAGTCATGAAAAGACATGCAGGGAACTTAGATGTGTGTTACTATGAAAGAAGCAAATCTGAAAGACTGCATACTGTATGATTCCCATTATATGTCATTCTGGAAAAGGAAAAACTATGGAAGATCAGAGGTCACCAGGGGTTGAAGGGAAGAATGAATAGGCAGAGTATAGAAGAATTTTAGGCTAGCGAATGAGTATGTATCAAACAGTGGTGGATACATTGTTTATACATTTGTCAAAACTCAAAAAATTTTAGCAAGAGTGAACTTTAGTGCAAACTATGGACTTAAAGTGATAATGATAGGTCAATGAAGGTTCACAGGTTTTAACAAATGTTCCCTTGTGGCGAGCTATCAATAGTGTGGAGAGGCTTTGCCTGTGTATCTGAAGGAGGTATATGGATACTCTGTACTTCCTTCTCAACTTTGCTATGAATCTAAAACTGCTATAAAATATAAAGTCTACTTAAAATATGAATTGCTCAGGAGGATTTGACTGAAAAATTTCAGGAGCTGACAGACTGAATGAGGGCCCCAGTGTGTAGAGACCTGATACTTAAATGTATAAGCACTAGGGATGGTTTTACTTAGGATTCACTAGATTTGGTTTGGAGTTTGTTCTAAAAACCTAGATGTCATATCACTGCATGTTAAATATATACAGTGTTTTTTCCATTTGTATACAATAATGCACTTTAAACAGTACTCTTCTGCTTCTTACTTAGGTTGACATGTCTTTAATATGAGTGGGGGAGGGGAAAACTTGTTTTTCTTAGGGCTGTATATGTTTATGTCATTGAAATGAAGGACAACACTTAAATCAAGAAAACTGAAAACAGCCAGACTCACAAGCGTTCTCAAAACAAAAGCAATAAAGTTAAAAATTTTCCTCTTGGTTTAGAATGGGAACAAATAAAATGATAGCTTTTCAGTATCAAATAATAGCCATTATTTATTCAAGGATGTTTATACTATTATCTGAGAGAAATAAATAAATACTCAATTTGGATGTTTCCATAGAATAGGTAGGGGTTGGAGGTTTCCCTTCAATCAAAACATGAAAGTGCTAGCAAATTTTTGGGAGACAGAGAAAAAAAATTCAGCTGTCCTTTGCCTGTTAGTTACTTAAATGGATTGCCTGAGTAATTTCTTATAATTATTTGACTGACAAACAGTTGGTTGCATTTTGAAGGAAGAGTGAGAAAGATCAGGGGGCTGAGAAAGAAGAGATGGCTTTTATGCAGTTATTTTTTACTAATTTAAAGTAATTGTGTGGGCCAAAAAAAAAAAAAAAAGATAAGTATTTTACAAATAACTTAAAAAATTTCCCCCAATAATATCTAATATTTTAAAAAGTCACTAAAAGACAAAAACAAAGGCCATCTCATTTTGACAAGATAGCACTTGGTTTACATTAGGTTTTTTTTTCCCCCTGTCTGCTGCCAGTTAAAACATAGAATTATAAATTTAAGCCTAATTTAAAACAATGTACAAAGCTATAAATGAATGTTCTCAACTTAATTAAAGGGAGGTTTCATAACCCTTCGATCTGTATGTTTTGGTTTATTCCATCAGCCTGACCAGAGAATAAGAAATCAGAGTAACAACAACAAAACATCCTTGAGAGAGTATTGTATCTCATTTAACTGGGACTACTTTTAACCTTTTCCATGTTTTTGGATCATCTGAAATCAGAGGTGTTCTCCAACTCCAGGAAGATACTTCCTATTTTTATTCAAGTACCTCCCTGACAGACAGAACTATTCTCCTCTCACCACTTTAGGGTCCTCTGGTGCTTCCCTAAATCTTACCCATTTTTTACTCAAAATCTAGCTGAGCCCACTTGCTTCCTACTTGCTCCAGTCCACGGTACGCGCTTCTCGTTTTCTACTCTGTTCCTGTGTTTTATCAGAAATCATTTGGCACTCTGAATTTACTTCTTGAAGCACACTCAATACTTTCTTAGCATCTTTCTCCAGAATCCATAGGCTGAGCCCAGGATCAAGCTGGGTGGGAGGAGCATGCGACAGCACTGTCCATGGTCCTGAACCATCGTTCCAGGTTGAGGGTTTTTTTTTTTTTTTTTTTTTCTTAATCCTACATCTGGTGACTTCTGTCCACTTTCTCCCACGGATTTTTAAAAAAATGGTTAAGTGGTGATGACAATAGAAAAGAAAGGCAAAAATATATTGGGAGAGAAAGATAGAGGAATAGACAAAGATAGAAGTATAAAGTAATCGCCTGGAGAGAATAAATTACAGGGGCTTGACAATCTTAAAACAATTGCAGCTGATACCAGGTTGGGAATGAGAGGGGGGTGTAACATATCTGACGCTGCCAATGAAGAAGTGTAAAAAATGCGTGCACCATGTGATATAAATCCGTGCATGAACAAACACACTGATGCTTGTAGGCGAGGAGGCCAGTTTGTATGTTGTAAATACAGTATCACGTCTACCATACCAAACTGCCATTGGTTTGTTTGTCTTTATTTTTCTCTCTTGGTTTAGAAAATCACTCGGCACTGTGGCAGAACAAAGGCAGCTATAACTTACCTTTCACGTTTGATATAGCTGTGCATCTTTTTCGGTTCTAGCACTTCTGTAACAGTTACATTACACTATCATCAAGCCCCAGCTGATTGTGGTAGGCGGAGCACGTGCTCCATGAAATCTCCATGTAAGTTCCTCAACTAAAGCATAACCTCCAAGAGGACAAACACCTTATACTATACATTTTTGGATATCTCAAAATGTCTAAGTTGAGTGCTTGGTACAAATTAGGGTTTCAGTAATAGTCTTTGAATTGATAAAAGACTCACAACGTCCTTTTCAGAGACAGCACTCAATACAGGCTTGTGAAATGAGCACGTTTCACTTGTTTTAATACTTCCATCCTCTTTTAGTCCCTTTTAAAGTGCAGCCCCCTCTTCTTTGTCCCCCCAAACCTCACTTCTGCGTCGGTCACTACCAGCCCTGCCCCCCACCAGCGACGCGCCTTCTCCCGCTCACCCTTTCTTCCTGCTCTGCAAGCCCTATAACCTTCTCCCCTAGGACCTCTCCCGCACTCGGTGGGTGTCTGTCCCTGGTCTTCGGGCGGCTCACTGCGTCCCCGCCCGCAGAGTAACGCTGTTGTCATGGACACGGCACCTGCGCCCTTCGGCAGTGCCCCTTCGCCACTGTCCCCTCCCCCCACCTGCGGCGCTGCCGGCTCGCTCCCCAGCACTGCCCCGCCCAGCCCCGCCCAGCCCCGCCCAGCCCCGCCTGCTCGGCGCTCCCCAGGCCGCGCGCGCCCGTGGCCCCCGCCCCGAGCCTGTCCTAGCCCCGCGGAGCGCCGAGCCGCGGGGGCCGCGGGGCCGCGGGGGCGCGCAAGAGAGCAGGCGGCCGCGCCTGCGCACTGGCCGCTTCCCCTAGCGGCGATCCGGGCCGCTGCCGCTCGCGCTTGGGCAGGACGCGGGGCGGGCGGGGGGAGGGGGGAGCGGCTTTGCTTCCAGCCGCGAGTGAGGCGGAGACCCGGGCTGGCGGGCGGAGCGGGAGGCACCGCACCTCGGCCAGAGGCGGCTGCTGCAGCTGCTGCCCTCTTCCCCGCCGCCGCTTCTCCAGTCCTGTCAGTGGTTTCCCCGCCAGCTGCTGGGAACGGACGAGAGAGAGGAGGAGGGCGAGAAACTCCCACCGACCCACAGAGGTGAGTCCCGGGCAGAGCATCCTCCATCCTTGCTGCCTCCCTCCCTCCCTGTCTCCCTCCCATCCTCTGCGTCCTCCCCTCCCTCCCTGCTCCCCAACCCTCCCGCCCTCATCCTTCCCAACATCCCTCTCTCCTCTCCCCTTCCAGCCTTTCTTTCATCCCTTTCTTCTTTTCTCCCAGCCCCGCTTCCTTCCCACCCTTTCTTTCTTCCCTATCTTCCTTGCAGCCAGTCGCTATAGAGCGCAGCTCTGCCTCGCTTTCCTCTTGTCTCCATCTCTTTTTTTTTCCTCCTTTCTTCACCCCTTCCCCAGTGGGAGATCCCTTGCCTGGTACAACTGTCCGGATTCAGGGGCTTCCAAAAAATTGGGCACATCTACTGAGAGACACGCTCTTGCATAGCGGATGCCCTGTGGATCTCTGTGTTGTTTGGATTAAGGGTCAAGTTGGATAGAGTACCGGGAACTGGAAGGAGAAGAGGGTCGGGGAAGAATCTGTGGATTTGTGCTGTATTAGGGTGGGGGTGGGGAGGGTTGTCACTTAGACATGTTGCCAACAACCCCCCACGCCCCTCTGTAGCAGTTTCTTTTTTCCTTCTGGGGAATTACATATTCCCAGTGTGTGTGTCACTGATTTAAAACCCAGTTTTCCCGGCTTTGATTGTCTCTGTCAGGAGCCACAAGGAGGGACGAGGAGAGAGGAGGAGAACAAGAGAGGGAGAGGGGAGGGGAGAGGGAGGGTGGTGGCGGTGGATGCCTGTATCTCTCTTCCCTAGGCCTCTTTGAATTGATATTTTCAAACCACCCGCCCAATATTTGCCTTGAAATTGAACCCGTGTGTCCTTAGTTCTGCCACGGTCTACTTTAGAGGCAGAAACTCTCTAAAACTTTAATGTGTGCACCCCAGCATTATTTGTGGAATGTTTGGGTCAGCATACAAAACGCTAGGGTAGATGGATTTGGGAAAACAGAGAGCAGAGGAGTGGAAGAGAGGGACTTTTGTTCATCATGAGTTAACTTCTAAAGGAGCACAATAGACTGGAGTGATGAGGTTATACTCCACAGGCTTAGAAATATATCGTTTTGATAGAATTAGCTGCATGATACCTTTAGCAGATACCCTTACCTTTTCTCATGCACCTTACAGAAATCGTGAAGATGTTTGAAAAGTACTGTGTGATTCTGTTTGTGGTGTACACCAATGGGAAAGTTGAATTATCTTTGGGACCGTTGTGAACAATTTAAAATTTCAGTTGGTTTTGCATCGTTTATTTTCACCAAATGATATATTTTACTCTGCTTTCTTTAGCTTACCGTCTAACCTCTTCTATTATGTATATTAATAGTGATTTGGCAGTGCTCCTTTTAGCAAGAGTTGCTGCTGAAAGTTTATTCATACCTGGTGGGATAGCCCTGCCTCAGAATTTTTAGTGTATTCATCATTTCAGAAAGATCCAACAAGTAGGATAAGTATAACTCAGAAATGGAGTGTTTAGAAGCCTGTATTTTGTTTTATCTATACTCATCTTTAAAAAAAAACACAAAAATAAAAACCCTTAATTTCTACAGAGAGCTGTATTTTATGTTTAATGAGTGTTTGGGGAGGGACTGAAATTAATGGTGGATTCAATGAAGCGTCCAGTAAGAAACTATGCTGTGGAGCAAATTGTTGATTTTTTTTTTCTTTTAAGTTATTATATGCCAGTGGTGCAATATGCACTTTCATATTTTATGGGAATGTAAAGTAGGAGTTGAGTTAAAGAGAATTACCTTCCAAAGTGATTGAGTGCTGATTTGACAAAGAGCTGACACAGTTAATCATCTGAATCAGTTTTTTTGGGGGGAAGTGCATGATATTAGGAATGATGGATCCACCCCTTGCCCCAACTCCCCTTGATAGGATTGCAATTCCATTAATGGCTTGGCTGAAGCTGGGTGGCATTGTCAGTGTTACCAATGCCCTGATGCAGAATTGCTGTCAACCCTATCCATATTTGAGTGGTTACATTACTTAATAGCTAACACAATTGTAGGCAGGGCTCTTCTGTTTTTGTTTTTGTTCATTTCCCGGGAATGCCATGAAGCTAGTGAAAACCTTTGATAGTAGTTATATATGAACACAATCTGTTAGTTTTGTCCTAATTTACTTTCAAACGACTTTCCCCGCTTCTCACATCTCTACTGTCCTTTCTCTGTGGAGCTTCGTGGTTGTAAGCTAGGGGAGGAGGCAGCCCCTCAGACAGCCCTGCTCCTTCCTGATCGCAGTTTTGCTTTACAGAGTGATGTGGGTGTATGCCTCTGTTTTTAATATTGTGCTGACTATGGAAAGAAAAATACTGTTTATCTCTTTCCTTTGTAAACATTCATCTACTGAGTGAAAACAAAATTTACAAGTTATTAACAGATAGAAGAGAAAATAACATTTGTTTACAGCGAGATTTTGAGAGAGACTTGAGTAAAATGAGCAAAATATGAAACTGCAGAACTAGTGGCTTAAAAAGCAGCCCTGCTACTCTCATCATTATTCACTTTACAGATAAAGTCCAGCCAACTTCCTCAGAAGAATTTAACTTCTGGAGACTTCTTGCTTTACTTGACTAGACCTTTAACAATGTATGGTACAGATAAAAACCCAGTAGTACATCTTATGGACCCTGTAGCAAATATTCTGGAACATTCTCTGTGGTTTTCTCAGAGTTCTTAAAACCGCTCAACCCTAAGCTTAAGTGTATGAGGTTTTCAAAAGAAGTAAAAAGACACTGCCTTTGACCTTAGCTTACAGCCTAGTTGAGGAGAACAGGCTTTTGCATGAGGTCATATTTCACAGTGGTAAAGAGCAAGATCTTTGGAGAGAGCTTTATATATGAGTGCATGCTCTACTTACGTAGTAGTGTTATACCCTTGTGTATTATTTAAGCCCTTCCCCTCATTTGCAAAATGGGAATTATGGTAGACCTTGATTCTTAGGATTACTGAAAGGGTTAAATGTGTTAATTACAGTACTTGGAGTAAACAAATCATATCTTAAACAGTATTATAATTAGGAAGTTGATTTAAAACAATCTAAGACAATATATGATTATGTGCTGGAAAGAAATTAAGTGGTTAGAGGGATTCTGGAGAGGACAGTTATTTATGTAGTCTAAGAACGATTATATTCAGGAGTCACAGTGGGGCTTGGACAGACTCGTGGGAAGGTTTCATGCAGGGTGGGTACACAGCTGGAACAAAAGTAGAGGGGAGAAACACCAGTGTGTTTGGGAAGACTGATTACTTGACTACTGGGGAGTGTATTAAACAGTGTTAAACACATACGGTCAGAGTAATTAGCCTCTCACTTGGGACAAGACAACTTGTTGTATTGTGGGATCCATTTTATCACAGGATATGCAGCTACCCAGAGGACCTGTTTCAGTTCTTTGTCTCACACAAAACCCCACACCAAGACACAGGATTCAAGGTCTGTGTCATAGTGAGGACCCAGAGTATTCTTTCTGTCTCTTTTCTTTAAACTTCAAGACAGAAAGTTGACCTTTCTAGATAATAAAGATTTAATATCATGATTATCTCAGCTCTCTCTTGTTTTGCCTTAACCCAGGAATATTCCAGAATACATACTTGGAGAATAGTAGCCATGATTATTTTGTCATACATAAAGCTGGGCATTGTTAAGGTAATTGTATTTCCTGGAACTTTCTTTTTCTTTGTTTTGGTGTTTGAGGTTATTAATGATTCCCAGTGAGTTATGCTCTTTGCAAGTGTTTGCTGGGAGACTAGGGTGTGATGGCAAACAGAGGGTCTGTCTGGGATTGTGCACTGAGCAAGGTAAACACCCGCTCAGCGTGGGGTGATAGTTGCCCGTTGGCTAGGTCTGTTGACACGTCTTTATTTTTGACTGGTGTTTATTGGATCCAAAAGCATAAATGATTTGTGTTATTTTATCAAAAAAATTTCCAGAAAAATTTACCTGCAAGTTACAAGTTTCAGTACTCATATTTAATTTATTTTTAATAGATAGACATAATTTCATTCTTTTCTCCAAAATAGTAAAATACTCTATAATTATTTTTTGTAGTTCTAATATACACAAAATTAATCTCATGAATATTATCTTAAGATATATATGGTTAAAAACATGAATGTATTTCCCCAAACTAGAAGTTTAACAGACATCGACTGTAGCATTCTTATTTTCCATTTTGGAAATTTTCTTAATATTCTAATGTTTTAAGGATGCAGCAGATGTAAATAAAACATTTTCCAATGTGCCACTTCTAGTCAGTTTCATATTAAAGAACCAGTGATTTTTGAAAAACTACTTTTAGATGCTTTAATTTTCCTCATAAGTGGATTTTTACTTTGGACCTAAGTTCGAACTCAACCACAAATATGCATTCCACAGCTCTTTGAGATTGTAACTCATTATACAAAAGTGATAGTCTGACCTTATACAGCTTAATTTTGTAAGGCTTTTATTCATTCTTATTTAAAGGCCATATCTGTATATACAACTCAGAATATTATTTTTCAGATGTGAAGATAGTGTACATTAACAGGAATGAAAAAGAAGCAACTATGTTCTCTGTAAATTAAGCAGTGACCTTAACTTATAGAGAACATGGATAAGTAGAATAAGGATGAGATAAAGTTAATTTCGTTTCATCTATTGAGCTGAAAAATTTTTAACTGCCTGTTCAGTTAATAGGACACTTTTAATATGCTCATATGTGTAAATTGGGCTTATATTGCTCGTTACACATCTGCAGTAAATCCAAGATCCTTTTTTTCATGGCATCTTGATATTTCACAACTCAAGCCATGAACTCCAATGGGGGGTATGTCAGTTCTTTGACAGCTACTCAGAAACCACAGTGACTCCATAAAAGACCAGAGAATCTGATATTTGTACCAGAACAAGTGGGCAAAATGCAGATCTGTCTCCATCAACTTTTGAGTTGGGTATTTATTTTGTAAGTAGAGAGCAAGAGGGCAAGAGGGCCCAGA